TGTATCGAGATTGTAGTCCATCATGAGAGCGAGCTTGGAGCGGTGGCTACTTTACAACACATACAGGGACCATAGGGAACAAAAGTAACCACCTCCAGAAGGAAGGACAGTGTCAGCACCAATTCAGTGATTATTTGAGGATCAACAGCTGAGTGATACACAAATAAAGTATAGTATTGTTAATAGGCAAGTTAATTTAATACATTTTTATGATTTAATGCTTGAGTTTAGTGTCACTTTGAGGGCCAATTCCCACTAAATGCAATTGGGCTGTGCTAGGCATCGTTTCCAGCGCAGACCCAATGCAAAGCAAGGCAATTTTCCTCATCACAGACAGGATCATTTACACCACCGTGTGATGATGGGAACACAGTGGTGTGCACTGGAAAAAAAAGTATATCATGCTATGCTTTTTTTCAGCACATCAGTATGTGACACAGTGCCCATAGAACTGAATGAAATGTCACTTGTGAAATTTCAATAAAGTTCTCCCAAAAAAACAAAGTACAATGTGCTGGGACACTGGACACCAGACGCTGTGCGATTAGCTCTAAGGTAGCCACACAGGGCTCACATTTTGGCTGATTCCTGCTGATTTGGTCAAATTTGGGTAGCACTTTTGGTACCAACGGCTCTACCTGAACACATCCGGCAGCTAGAGATTTAGCGTGGATGGAAAAATCTATGCATGTGTGGCTAACATTAGGGTTTACATTGTCTTTGTATCAATGTTGTTTTAAAGCCCTTCATAAAGAACTCCTGTTATACTGCCCACCAAAGATACTGCTATATAAATAAATCATAAACATAGAATACATATTTACACACATGGAAACTGGGCTTATACTTCTATTTGCTTAAATGAAGAAAATGTGTTGGGACAAGTTTACATAGCCGTCATATAACAAATATGAGACGTGATAAGTTTTTCCAGATAGGTTCATGTAAGATAACGTTATACAAAGCTTTGCTCTTTAGTACACTAATGATTTCTCAGGGACTCATCAGGAATAATGTACATCTGTAAAGACCCATCAATTCAGCTTCTGTTCAGAAGGCCACAACCTTGATTTGTAGCAAACACCAGTAGCAGCAACACCCGGGACATGATAATGTGTCTGAAAAATAGCACAGGTAGTGAGGCATTAAGGCAATTCATTTACAGCCAGCTTGTAATATATTTATCTAGAACACTTCCTCTCAAGGATGAAGTGGGGTATGATAAGGCTATGCGGAGTACATCAAGTGAATAATGCCTTGTTGGCTTTAAAGTAAACCTGTCTTTGTTCACTTAAATCTGAACTGCATTAAATAATTATTTCAGCTTAAAAATAAAATGATAAATACAATCAGTTCTGCAGTTTACATATCAGGGTGCAGTGCAGTAAAATTCAGCTTTTTTAGATTAAACACCTATAGGCCAAGCGCAACCTCCGCAAATATGTAGCATCCAGAGCGATATGCAACGTCCTGTATATATGCTAGGACAGACCTACGTTGAGCGCACAAGGGCTCTCCCTTGTCCACAAATGTGCACAGACAGCCCTGTGAAAATGAATTATTAGATCCCTCTGGATTACTTGACTAGCCTTCCTATGGTAGCCACGTTGGCCATGCCAGCTGCCATGAGTATATTTAAAAGGTAAGTCCATCCTTTTAGATACACAGTTAAAGAAGAACTTCAAGCAGAGTTAAATGTAACCCTTGCAGCAGGGCTACTCCTGCACTGCAAGGATTCAATGCCAAGGAGGGATGAATGAGCCCTTAGTGGGTCCATTACCAAGATGGCCACCGGCAGGCGTCAATTAGATGGCCACGCGATGCGCGATGACGTCACTGTGGTGTGTCACCCGGTCTCCACTCCGGGTGACACCCGGCCTCGGAACGCCCCTGATTGACAGCATAGCACGTCAGAGAAAAAAGGAGATTGCCACAGCGGGGTGGTAAGATAAGTATATCCCCTCTTTTTGTACCCTTAGGCAATGCAGCCATGAAAAATCCCTGCCATAATAGCAGGTTCTGTTCCCAAGAATGAGATATGGGAGTCGCTTTAAGGTTTCTAAAAGGTGAAGGTTTAAAGTGGTCATCCTTGCCCTTTCTTTTTCCTCTAATAAGTCAATGACCAAGTTGTCCTGACGCTGATACAAATATGCTTGTCCATGTTAGGAGTCTGCACAGAATCCTTTTAAATTTGGACGTGCAAACAAGATCAGACACCTTGAAGGCAAAACATTTTCCAAAACCTGGTAACATATTTACGTCAATAAGGCTGTTGGTTCCATCCCATGGGGGAAAAGAGGCAAGGACAAGTTTGACCCGTCTAATCAGCTGGACTTCCAGAAAGCAGCTGACCAGCAGTGTATGGTGACAACGACCAGACAGCAGTCCTCCAAGGTCTATAGGTAACTTAGCAAGTGCACTGAGCAATGCAGGGTATCTCAAGTTTCAGTTCACCTTCTACCTTTGACTTGCCAAACCCTTGAATAAACTTCATATAACCAATGGTAACAGACCTGAACCACCCTTGAGCGCCAGTAGCGGAAGATAGCTATAAAATGCACACTGGAAAACCAGACAATGTTGTTTTTGAGGTGCTTGTATTTTTCTATGGAATGTGAAAATGTAAAAGGAGTTATAAAATCCCAGCATGTACCATCCTGTACACCATCATCACTGTAATAGGAACACGGGATAGTTCACACCATATGCAGTGCATTTCGGTCCGATTCTGGCCGGAACGCACTGCAACGCATTGCAGCCATTGAAGTGAATGGCACCGTAGCGACGCCCTCCGGTCACAATGCGATCGCCCGCACGGGATCACAAGGCACATTGTGCCTGCGGTCCAGTGCGGTCAAAATAGTGCTTGCAGCATTTTGATCGCACCGGACCGCAGGCACAATGTGCCTTGCGATCCCGGGCGGGCGATCGCATTGTGGCTGGAGGGCGTGGCTACAGTGCCATTCACTTCAATGGCCCACCACGCCCCATCCAGCCCGGCAAAAAAGTGAGTCGGCTGCAATGCGATGCAGTGCGTTCCGGCCAGAATCGGGCTGGAACGCACTGCAACTGGTGTGAATGTGCCCTACATATTATAGTTGTTTTTGAACAATCACAGTTTATTTGAAAACACCTGTTTTATGAATTGAGTGCTGCCCACTGTCTGCCCATCACTTTCAACAACTTCCTGGATTCCTTCCTCAGGAATCCAGGAAGTGCTTCCTCACTTGCACCTCTTTCCTTGCTGCTTGATAATACATACCCCATCATGCATTGCTTCTAGCAAGCAATGATAATGTTACATTGTTCAGACTTTTGTAGCTCAGAAGGCAGGCTCTGAGGTAGTTGCAGCACAATGAAGTTGCATATTAACAGGGCTGAGTGAAATGGTGTCAGTGCATTGAGGAAGTCCATCCTATGGGCATCTTCAGTAAGTTAGCTTACAAACTTCTAGATGGATATGGTTATTAGGAGTGGGATAGAACATATGGAAATTCAATACTGATTTTTTTTTTTTTTTTGACCACAGATACTCATCAAAATCAAATGTATATTTTCAGTACACAGTGATGAGCGTTTTAAAATTTAAAATGAAGATTTTATTTAAGTTTTTATTTTATCAACCAGAAAAAGCTTGGCGTTCAGCCTGTTTGAGTTTTGGAACTGTCCCCCAAAGTCTGTCCCTTCTAATAACAATGGGTATGTTAAGGTTTGTTACATTGTTCTATTTCTGCTATCATAGGAAGAAAATATAGCTGAAATCACAGTGTGTATCCCTTTGGTGTAGAGAAGCTTATCTGCTCAGCGCATCTAGACTACCTCACTATCTGCTCACAGAGAGAAAAAGCCACATCTGCCTGTGTGGATGATTAAACTTCTCTCAAATGATATGCAGATCCGTTATGCCAAAAAGGCAACAAAGAATATATAAAAGCGCATTACACTCTTCTCAGTGTTGTTAGAACTGCTGTAGCAAGACATTCACAGAATTCAAGCTATATCCTCATATGCATTTTTCTCAGACAGAAAGTATAGCCTATGGAAATAGCAGAACATAACACCACAGAGCATAAAGCCGCACACATCACCTCCCAGAACAACCATGCGCTTTGCTTCCTCACTGCTTTCCTAAGATACAGATTTCAATAGGGTTGAGAAAGACTTATTGTAAGCGGATATGTGGTGGGCTGGGGGTAATTATCTTGCTACTATATCTTTAAAGCGAACCTGCACACAAATAGCGATAGGCTGCAAAATAAATATCTTTAAAAAGTATTAATATAATTGGGCCTAAGCTAACCCTGAAAATTGTAAAAATTTGCCTTAAATGCCTACAAAACAACAGTAGGGCAATAGTGTGTGTGTGTGTTTTTTGAGAGAGAGAGAGAGTGATGAATATAACTCACACATATATATGTGGGCCTCTGCAAGCCGACTGTGGCAGTCTTGCAATTGGCAAAAAAAGTTTTGTATCGGCTTTCCAATTACAAACACTCTCACACCCAAGAAATGGTGGAAGCTTGTTTTATATTCCGGCATTGTTAGGCCCCTTTCATGTGAGTGGGTCCGGCTGAAAAACTGACAGGTGGACCCGACTAGATGCTTCATGCAAGTCTATGGGGAGCCATGTGTAAACGGACACCCGGTTAGCCCTGACTAAATACGAAAAAACAAACGGATCAGAGATCCGTTTCGCTGGACCGGGAGTAATCTGATGTAAACGGACTAGGGCTGCTACAACTAATCGATTAAATTGATAATAATCGATGAGAATAGTTGGCAACTATTCTCATTATCGGTTAGTAGGTGGAATGGGGAGAGAGAGATAATTTTTTTTAATGCAACCAATCAATTAGTTATGAAAATAATCGTTAGCTGCAGCCCTAAAATGGACATATGTCCATTTACTTCCGATTCCCCATAGACGCACATGGGGTCTGGCAGTCTGTTTTTTGCCTCCATTGCAAGATGGAGGCAAAAACTGTAGACACGGATATCACATTATCACATTTGTGAAATCTTCTCTGTGCTGCTGTGATCAGGAGAGGATCTGTTGACGGATCCTCTCCTGAAACACTCATCTGAAAGGGGCCTTTCTTCCGAGTAGCTGTGGGGGAATCATGAATCAAGCTTATAGTAACTTTGTCTCGAAAATCCTTTTCTATACAGACAGCCCTGATATCTGGCAAGGTTGAAAAATCTCTCCACGAGAGTGGGAGGTTAAAACACTGTGAGCCAACCAAGCTGTACTGCATTGCACCATGCTCTTAACAGGGCAAGTTGACTTTCAGTAAAAACACCAAACCACCCTTCACTAGCCAAACTATGCTAGAAACCCTCAACCAAGCTAGTTACTCGGGAAGTGAGACATGACCATTTCCATTTTGGTCCCAATCCCCTTCAATGCTGGCTGCTGAAAAAAGTGTATATGTGAAATCTTTCTTTTTATATTCAGCCATCTTGTTTTTCAACCACCTTGTCTCTCTCTCTCTCTCTGATTTTCTCTTTCTAAAGAAACAAAACTGTAAACAAGTACCAGGCTTCAGCAAGAACTAACTGGCCTTTTCTGAAGGTCATTTCATAGATAAGGTTTATGTGCCTGAGCTGTCAGAATTATGATAATTAAAAGGCATATAAAGTAGTGTGCTAGTCAATAAACTTTGCAAATTGTTTTTAAGCTGAGAATGAGTGTGTGACAGTGTGCAATCCTCGCATGGTCTTGCTAAACAAAAAGGCATTTATCTTATACAACAAACAACCTGTCGAAGACAACAGTGTGCCCTCAAAGAGTCATATAGTGCCGTCTCTGGAGACTGGAGATAACTGGAAGACGGCTTTATACAAATCTACATAGGATTGCTGTGCAGTGATGACGACTGGGAAGAAAGATGAAAACAGAACTGAGGCTCAGTGTGTTAGTAAGTTGCACTAAGTAAGAAGCTGGTTGGGGTGGGATGGAGGTCCGAGTATAGTTTAGCTTTGAGGGGCTGAAGATGGAGGCTTATTCTATTTTTGCTGAATGCACATTTGTAATTTAATGTAGGTTTTCACCCAACAGGAGATAGAGAGGGAGGCACCTTACAGTTGCAGGAGAGCTCAGAGAGGACCTTAGCAATATAACTCTTAGGCAAGTGACACAGGAAGCTGCAATAAACAGGAGGTTTCACAATGTTAAGTTATGTAATTTGTCAATGGTGGGTGACCAGGCTAATAAAGTGACAAATCTTGGGTTTCCCTAGGAATTAGAGATATACATTTTGAAAACAAAAATATGGAGCTGTACAGTTCATCTAAAAATTAAGTTTAAACACAAACTTGTCATAAAACTGGCCAGATGAAACTAAGCAATTAAAAGAGAACTATGGGCAAAGCTTTTATCGCCATAGTTTTCTTTAGTCTCACAGGAGGATATTTACTTATGTCCTCCTGTGACCGAAAACTCTGCATATAGCGGGCCATTGCCCTTTGCAGACAGCGCAGGGACACGCTGCAGCAGGGAAAGATCCCAACGATATTGTCAGGACCTACCCTGCTGCCTGATTGACAGCTGGCTCTGCCTCTCGCTCAGTTTTCGATCAATAGAGCTGACATGTAACACCTTTAGTTTTACACGTTGGCTCCAACTATGGGGATGAGTATTTCATTCATCACATAGTTCTCCTTTAAAAGACAGAATCACCTCCACTTTGTCATGCAGTTTTCACTGAAGGCAGCCTCTGTTTCTCCAACAGCTGAAGTTGTATGCCTCCCAGTCTCAAGATCTTTCTCTTAAGTTTAGCTTGACTCCACCCCGTCTACAGATCCCTTAATATGATGGGCACACTCACTGACCTATAGGGAGTCTCAGGAATTGGAAATAATGTATGCAAGCTAGACTTCAAATCCTCATTCAGGTCTCTGTGATACTGGATCCTGCATTGCATGAGATCACATATTGCAATGTTAGGTGCACTGCTGTGGCATTATTTCTTAATGGCACCCCAACGCAGCTAGCCATCACATGAGCGTTGAATCACACCACATCATGGTAAACTATTACTATGTGTTGTGGTGTGATTTTAAAAAAGGCTCATGCACTTGTTTGAGAGATTCAGCTGCTGTAGGCACCCAATTAAAATCAATGGGCTGCCTACCGCAAGGCACATGCACTGTGCAATGTGCTTGTAATGCCACATCATAGAGATATTTACAGAGGCTTACAGAGAATTTAAGATTTGCAACTTCAGAAGCCTTCATCTCAGGATCTACTCATTACTTCAATATGCTGTTTTAATAAAAGTAAAAGCTGGCCATACACGGTTAAAATTTCTCTCATTAAGTCCGCGGGTTGATGCTAAATAGCATGGACGGAGGAATCCTTGATGCTGCCTATTGTATTCTGTAGCCACTGCTCCAGCGACTGAGGAATACCGGGACTGTAGATGCTGTTTGGCTGATAATTTTTGGGCCAGTTCCTTCGACAAAAGAAAATGTAAACAATTTTATCGAGCGGCAGGTCAGCAGAAATCAGCCGAAATTTGAGCAGTGTATGGCCAACTTATGCTTTGATTGGTCATAATTGAATAGGTTTTTCACAGGTTTATTTTAAAAAAATCGAATGTATAGCTCATACATAAAAAATAGCTGTTGTGACAGCCAAGAAAAATGACATGAATAATCGTAACACTGCACATTCCCAGTACTAAATGATTAGGTGTACTCTTTAAATAACACCATGTGCTACATAAACGTTTCAGCACTACACAATTATGTAGGTAGAAGTATATTCACTATGATCAGCCAAGCAAGATAATGCATGCGCTGGTGATAGCAGCAGAATTATTTGAGTCTTCTTTTTAAGTTATGTATCTTCCAGAGTTCTCCTTCTGGTAATTTCTGTAATCAATCACAGTGCAGTGCCCACTGACACAGCCTTACTATGAAATCATTCATAAACATGACACCGATAAGGGGAATTTGATTGTATTGTTGGAAAAGGATTCCATAAATCAAATCTTTGGTGCATGAATGTTGCTTTTAATTTGCCTGATAAATGAATATAATCAAGCAGGAGGAAAAGCGCGGGCTGTTAGATGGCGGTCATCACCTGTAAGTGGCTGCAGGCTATCATGCAATGACACAGACGCAACAAATGTTGTAGCAGGACAGAAATACATCTTAAAGAGAATGCAAAAAGTGCCCATCAGCAGATATCTTTTGGCAGGATCAGGTGACTGACAGGCACCACTGATGAGCAGCAATCATCCTTGGCAGGTCAATGTGATGGTGGGAAGAGTAAGGATGGGTTCACACCTGGGCGTACGGAATATGCGCGTTTGTCGCACGTTTTGTGCCGCACGTTTTTACCGCGATTTGCGGTAAAAGAAACGCGTGACAAACGCGCATTTCCAAGGGCTATCCGGCTGTATCCTAATGGATACGCGCGGCAAATGCGCCCCAAAGAAGCTCCTGTACTTCTTTGGGCGTAAGGCGTTTTACAACGCATTCCTACGCGCTGTAAAACACCCAGGTGGGAACCATGCCCATAGGCAATTATTCGTTTTCACATGTTGAGCGTTTTACAGCGCGTAGGTATGCGCTGTAAAACGCCCAGGGGGATGTTGGGGAAATGGTGGTGGTTGTTTCATTTGCATTGCCAGCCGCAAATGTACAACAGAAGTGTTCAAGTCTGAGCACTAAAAGTCTACATGAAACAAAATAAGCATTCTTTATTAGTCACTTGAAGCTGGTCTCCGGGCAAAGAGTTAAAGGCTAAGTTTAGCTTTTGGACCATGTTTTATGTTATACACCCAAATTCAGGGTGCAACGTGAAACATGGTACCATCACAACTCCCCCAACTTCCTCCTGCCCCCCTCACTAGCTTGATACACGGGTTCTTCTCCCCGCAGGCTACTGCCTTTTTTTAATTTGGCACGGCTGTGCAAGGCTCGGGCCACACAGCCATTGCTCTCATTGAAATCACCGTAATCTTCCTGACAAAAGCTAAAACCATTTTTCTCTCCAGAAGGATGGAGCCATCTTTGTTAAGACATCATCTACTTCTTAGGCTCCGTGCACACATTAGAGCATTTCCCCGTGTATGAATTCTGCTAAACATAAAAAACAATGTTATTGACGTCCGTGCTGTACGGAAACGTGCGTCGCACAAAAAAGTCCAACGATATTCCGGGTAGATTCCGCACGCTCTGGCTATAGCAATAGCCGCAAACATGCGGAATACGCGCGTATGCAAAATTTGCACGTTTTCGTACTGCATGATTCTCCGCGCAGTAAGGGACGGTTCACACCACAACGAGTGCCTTCCAGAGCGGTCGACCTTTGCAAAGCACTGGAACGCAAACCGGCTGGCTCCCTGTGTTCAGGACGGGGAGGTGCATTGAATTCAATGGCGCCACAGCCACAACCCCACCCTTCGGCCACAGTGGATGCAGCATTTTTGAAGATCTCAATGGAGCGGAACGCAGGCACTAATGTGCCACACGTTCGGGTGCGGGCAATTGAACTGCGGGTGGGGGGCGTGGCTGCGGTGCCATTGACTTCAAAGCACCGCCGCGCTCCCTCCCGCCCCTGAACACAGGGAGCCAGCTGGTTTGCATTCCAAAGGCCAAAGACTCCAGAACGCACTCTTTGTGGTGTGAACCAGCCCTAAACGCAATTGCCATGTGTGAATGGAGCCTTAAGGTGCCCATACACCTTACGACCATCGCAAGACTTTTGTCTTGCGATGGTCGTATGCTTCTTGAAAGCCCGTACGATCTGCCCACCTTGGACGGGCAGATCGTACTTGCGATCATCGAAAGCCCGCCCCGCTGAGGGGCGGGCTTCCAATGACGGCAATGCAGAACGGGCAGTGTGCGCGTGTGCACACTGGCCCGTTCCGCAGCTATCGGGCGAGCAGGCTAGAAACCCGCCGAGAATCGTACGATTCTCGGCAGGTTTTCGAGCATGTTGGCTCGAAAAAAGACGTGCGACCGTACAGTAGAAACGGTCGCACGTCTTAGTTCACACTGCTCGATTCTCGTACGATCGCGGGATTTCTAAAGGTGCCC